AAACTTCAATCAAAATTTCTACCAACACTTTCATACAATATCAATATCCATCTATAAGACTTAGCAGAACTATACCCCAACAAAACAGAATATAACCATACAATATCAATATCCATCTATAAGACTTAGGAGAACTATACCCCAACAAAACAGCATATAACCATACAATATCAATATCCATCTATAAGACTTAGCAGAACTATACCCCAACAAAACAGCATATAAACATACAATATCAATCATGCTACTTCCATAATTTTACATCACAAGCTGAAAAAATCAAAAAATAATATTGCAGGTTACCTTTTTCGTGGTTTTCTCTACACTGGCATGTAAGTATGAAGTGCAGCCTGACAGTGAAATGCATATTACATCACTTAATGGTGAGAGCATTTCACTGTATTTCTCACTTGTTTTGGACTTTTAAGAAGAGGACTCGGTGAACATACATTATTCAAGTATGGTAAACCTAATCTATTAACTTTAGCACAAGATTCATCCTTGTTACTACCTTCACTATTACAACTTACTGCCTCTGGACTAATACACTGAGATGGTGGATAACAAACTTTTCTGGATGCATCTCAAGTTCCCACCATACAAAATGTATGACTTATTTCTCTCCACAGTTTGATTTATGGCTCATTCCTTGACATTAAGTAAGATATTTACCATGTACAATATCTGCCTAAGTTCAACTAAGCCCCTTTGAGACAGTAACCAAAGAGACAGTAACTTGAGAACAAGCTAAAAGCACTAGCAGGAAGTTAAGTGGCCACTACGATGGACATGAATGACAATGATTTGGTGGTGTCTTCTTGGTATTCTGGGAAATGGAATATAGCACATCATTTCACCAATTTCTTTTTTAGCTAAAAGATATCTATATATCACTGGAGTTTATTACTAAAAAAAGTGTACATGGCATTTTGGAATAAGAGTTTCTTACTAAAAAAGTGTACATGGCATTTTGGAATAGTAGTTTCTTACTAAAAAAGTGTACATGGCATTTTGGAATAGT